ATACATTAGGAAAGACATTACAGGGGGTAAACTGGTACTTGACTCCTTCTACTGAAATATGGGGAGAATGACACACGAGGCTTAACTTGCTTGGAAGTGCCCTTCGTGCAAGCATAAATGCACTGCAGCAAAAAAAAAGCTGCATTAAAAATTTCAGGCACTCAACATTAATGCCTGTGTCTGTAGCAAAACCTCCAGTTTTTCTTTTTTTAAATTTTAAAATGCATTCCCTCCCCTTCCCCAACCATATCTGACTTGTTCCCTCCCTCTCTATTCTCTATGAGTGAGATAAGACATAGGATAAGCTTCAGCATTTTATTTTGGTAGCAAGTTGTATTTGCTTTGTTTTTTTCTCCTTCTTTATATTGTATAATTATGTTTATATTGATTTTTACTGTTCTATATTACTGTTTTACTGGTACTACATGATCTAGTCCTAATAGTAAGTTAGCATAAGTCATGTCAAGTTTCCATTTTGTTTGTCAAGTCTCCATCTTTTCCCCATGCCCTGTAGTGTAACCTATGACTCATACCTACCCCTCCTATGTAACTTGGTTCCTGGATGAATGGGGATTAATGAGGATGAATGGGGATTGCTTGAGAGACAATGGCAGTAGGCCTAAAAATAGCTCCCTCTGAATGACCAAACCATCAACACCGATACCTGGACCAACGACCCAGCCCTTGGAACCACCCTCAGCATTCAAGAAACAAAAGATGAGGCAACCCACCATTGTGCCAGGCTGCAGATGCTCAGTAAGAACACCTGGAACAGAACTGACATTGCCTGGACAGGCCCTCCCCATAGGAGATCATAGGTAGTCTGCCCCATAAAAAGGGGTAGGGAAGACTGACTCCTTGGGATGCTCTCTCCATTTAGACTAGCACCATGCCACACCACCTATTCACACAGAGGCCCTGCTAGTGACCCCCCTCTGGACAACACCTGCTGGACAAAGACCCTTTCCAGCCAGGATAGGTAGCTATCACCCCCACCCACTCTTCAACCGAGGACTTGGGCTCTGTTTCTCTTCCCTACCTGGACTCCAACTCTTCCAATGAATCTCTTTTTCCTGTTGCCATTGTGAGTGCTTGTGTGTGTGTGTGTGTGTGTGTGTGTGTGTGTGTGTGTGTGTGTGTGTGTGAACCAATAACTTCATGGGGCTGTGTAGTATGTTGTCTGTTTAATAAAACTGTTATTTGAACCCCTAAATTGGGTTTTGCTTTACTATGGTTCAGCCCTGCTCCAATCTCTGCTCCTCACCCCTCTAACTTCTGTTTCATTTCTCCCTCTCCTGCTTTAGGCTCACCACCACCTCCAACACCTGTCCTGAGCTCCTCTCTGCCTGCAAACCCCCTGTTTCTCTTCCACTTTCTTATCCACACTGTCTTTTCCCCTGAGTTCCCAGGTTTCTGCCTCAGTTTCTTTCCTGGCTGTCTCCTCCTTGCCACCACTTATCTTCCTCCCCTCCCCCAATACCTCTCCTGTCTGCTTCAGTTTCCAGCCCCAAGCTTCCAGGTTTCTGCCTCTCTCTCTTTCCTGGCCATCTCCTCCTTGCCACTGGGCTTTTCCCCTTGCGCCAGTGACCTTGAGGGACCCTGGGGCCACTTAAGTAACCCCAAGCCTCAGTTTCTCAGCCCAGCTTCTCCCTAGTCCACTGGTTCTGGCAACTTTCACTTTCACTCCCTACACTTTAACTCTCTCTCTGTCTCACCTTAACCTTCCCCCAAGTATCCCAGGTACCCCAAGCACACACATACATATTGTACCATCTAAGTTAGGAACTTACCTATGTGTATGTGTAGGTGGGTTGTATGTGTGTAAACTGGTGAGTGTGTGTGTATATATATGTTATTGTGTGCATGATATACATGCAGGTATGGACAATTGATTTTTGTCTAACTTTTGGGGTGTATAGTGTATGTGCTTGAATTGGTGATAGGTATGCACGTGCCTAGGCTGGTTTGGATGTGTATGTGCCTGAGTTGGTAATGTGTGTGTATGTATGCACCCAATTGATTTGTGTGTTTGTATATGTGCAATTGTGTCACACCCTCCTGTCTAACAGTGCAATGCTGAGATCCTGAGAGTTGTCCTGACCCCACAGGGCAACATGTCATTTACATATGCCCTTAGATACAATGAGGCTGCAGGCATAGATGATTTTGTTACAGAGCTCAGAAGTAGAGCACAGCATTATGAATTTAGATCTGCTGAGGATGTTATGTTGAGGGACAAAATTGTTTTCAGCATAACTGACTGCAAACTCAAAGAAAGCCTTCTGGAAAACCCCTCCCTCCCTCCCTCACCCTAGCATAGGCTGTGAATATCTGCAGAGCAAAGACTCTCACAAGTGCTCAGGTTCATGTTTTGCATACAGTTGAGCAAAAGCAAAACTGCCATAGTATTTTGCAAAAACAAAGCAAACCACCAATGAAGTTTGCTCCAAAGGAGGGCCACCAAGCTGTATTGGGCAAAGTTTGCAAATGGTGTAGAAACACACACAAGCCTAGATCCTGCCCAGCTTTTGGAGAAACTTGTTACAAATGCTCTGGAATGAATACCTTTCCAAAAACATGCAAATGGCTCCAAAGTCTGCAAAAGGACCTGGGTGCAATGTCTACAAAGCAGCACTCACAGACATTTGATAACCAGAATGCCAGGTATAGCACAGTAATGA